GCTAATAGCATGTTCTGCACTGTCATTTAGTAGAAGAGCAAACCCTAGGGAGTACAGGGACTGTACTCTACTGCCATATCCTGAAAGTAAATGGAAATGTTGCAGCGTTCGACTCATCTATATCTTGTAGCATTTCAGAAAAGCAGCAGCAGCCCTTCAAGAGGCCTGCAAACCTTCCAGCATGCTAAAAACCTGGCATGCCTCTTTGGCTTCTCAGAGTTTCATAAAGGTATATAATAGCATAGGCCACCCTACACTGTTTCAATCTTCCTTCCAATGTTAAAGACTGAACTCTTGTATGTTTAATTTAAAGGTACTTGTCCCATGAGTAAAATCTGCTGCCAAAAGCATTAGTGCGTTTTCAAAGGAGATTCCTCAAATATGAATGAGCCGAGACCCTGTGATCATTATAATTGATCCAGCAGTGCTTGCAGTTAAAAGTAAAGCTGCCACCTTTCATGGCAGACCAGACCTTTTCCCCTAGCCCCTAATATTTGTGTTCCTGACATTTTATGAAAATAGTCATCAGTCTTGCTCAGTCTGGGAGATTTATATAAATTCATGATCACAGCATTTAACTGGATTCTGTCAAAACTGGTGTATAGGCTGTAAGATACTTCCACATGGAAAGAAGAGAAACGTTTTTTCAAGATGGTAGGTGGTTTTGAATAAATAAAATTTTGTTGATGCCAGAATATTTATGGGAATTTATTAGTTTCAGCTCTGATACCCTGATTTGGGTTGAAAAACTCTGATTGAAACCAGATCAAAGATTTTGATTGGGATCTCTCTGCAAGTCTCCTCACACATGCACACGCATGCTGATGTGCACACAGACCCACACAGAGCTGCCAGAATCAAAATGGGCATTTCAACACCATTCTGCTTTCATGTAGTCAGGAGTTTTGGTCCAAAACCTTACAAAATGATGCAGCCAGCCTCATCATCCTCCATGCAGCCCTAGTGAAAATGCTATGTAACAGCATGAAAAGGGGTACAGGCAACCCATCCCCTTCCTCTGCTGGCTTTTCAAATGCTGAGGGCAGAAAGACACGGATGCTTGTGCCAGGCAGCCCCAAGGCCCTGTATTTTAGTCTGGGCTTTAAACCTTTTCCTCTTTATAATGCAAACTCATCTTAATGCAGTTCGTTATGAGAGGAGCAAGGGATGTGGAACCTGCATCCCCTTGTGCTGAAGGTCCCTTCAGTATTGCTGCCATTTAGCCAAGCCATAGACTCTCATCAGGGAGCTTGTTTTTTGAGTAGAGGTGGGTGACATTGAATGTTGAGTATGATCTTAAAGTACCAGTAATGAGCACATTAACAGAACATGTATCACACGGTAGGACCGGTCTGTATGTGGACAGTTGTCGATACTTATCCAAAGCCACCTTTGTGGAGAGAAGACCGACTCATCACATCTCTAAGCCTTGTGCAACCCTTATGGTCTTGTTACCACTGCGCAAAGTAGGAAGCAGCTGAGAATATATCCTTCCCCTCCTGCCACTTAGCAGCACTGAGAAACTAGCCTGTCTCAAGGACGAATGAGGAAGGTTTTAAAAACATGGCAGCTGGAGGCTGAGCGGGAACTTGTCAACTTTTACTGCTTCCCCTGCCAATGTCCTAAGTTGCTGCTTTGCAGTCTCTGGCTCCTCTTCTTGGCATTAGGCCGGCAGGACAAGCAGCAGGGTTGGAGAGCTGAACCAGCCACGCTGTTTTGGGCTCATTGTCCTAGTATCTAAAGGTTGACCAAATATGAATAGATGTTTAAAGGTTTTGCAGGAAAATACAGTCCTGAACATTGTTAGACTTCAGTTTCACCTACATACTCCCTGTGGATAAATTATCGAAGTTTTGAGTCAAGCTGGATCCAATCAGACATCAAAGGCTAAGTTCAAAATTATTGCAAGAGGACTTTACAAAAAGGATGTCCATATTTCCATGAACAGCTCAATTATGGCTCTGCACTGGCCCACAAATACATGCAGAATGTCCCTGTGGTCACAGATGAGACAACTTCTTTTGTCAACAATGCATGTGGCTTAAGAACGTCTCTTCATACACACCTGTTAAAAAGCACAAGGACCAAAACATGCAATCTCATTGCTACCCATTGAGAAGTCATTAAGGGATCTGTGGGAAAGGGTTGCCAATGGGAAAGGATGGTTCATTCTTTGTGTCCGTCTGTGCTTTAAATATTCTAATAGGCTGTGAAATGTAGTGGAAATGTCTCAAACATGGCCACATCTCTACTAAGAAACCAAATGGCAAAAAGCAATTTATTTCACAGAAGACACCAAACAACCCTGAAAACAATTTTCTGTCATTTCAGGTCATGACAAGGTTCAAACTTGGAGTGTAGGGCTGACAACTCAGTGTCTCATTATTTCCACCTGCAGCAGTCCAATCTGTTGCAACTCTGAGCAGGAGTGATATCACAGTATGAAATTTCAAGGCATCTGCACTGTCAGAACAGTAAGACTGTGCATCCCATAAATTTAATAAATGATGGGCTTATTATCAGGTACCCCCATGCCTCACATGAGCAACTCCATCCAATGCGTGGGAATAGAGTACAGTAAAAGAAAAAAAGAAAATGCTAAAAGGTAACAAATAGTAAGGTTTGCTTAGTGTTGGTCTTTCTAACTCCAACACCAGAAGCAATTAAAGTGCATCAATCAGGTCTTTTTTCTGTGATAGGGATGTTCTCCAGTGTTTTTAACAGCTTGCAAATTCCTATGACTATAATCAGCCTGATCCCACTGTGCTCCCTGTCAGATACCGCAATGGCTATAATCTGGCACCTGCTTGGTACAAAGCTTGGAAGTGAGGCTGGGTGCCCACAGAATAAAAATTAAGCGTGTTTACTGCAGAGGGGGAGGATAAGAGGGAATTTAGGAACACTGGTGACAACCTTTTTTCATCTCTCTCAGCAAGACAGTCCTGACTATGACAGGTCAGAAAATGCTGCTATTGTTCTGCCTTAAACCTCCGTCTTCCAGATGCAGAATTTCACTTCCAGAAGCAGCCATCACAGGGATGTGTTCCAATAAAATTAGCTTCCTCCATCTGTTTAGATAACCTAAGCTTTTTTACTCCGTACAAATTCACTGATGTTCCTCAGTGCAGAATTCAGTGGATCCCGTTGACCTGGAACTGCCTCAAGTGGATTTTTCTATAGACAACCTGCCCCAGAACTTTATTGTTCTCCCCTGTAGTGTCTCTGATAGAGATATCTCTGCAACTCAATAGAAATCTTTCATCAGTTTAGTACACCACATGGGACCTGTATTACAGCTTCATTCGTATCAGAAAGCATTTTCTCATGGTCTTTGTTGTCTTTGAAATCCTCCATTGGAAACTGTTAAAAAGCAATCTGCATTGCTGTCTAGCTAAACATAAACAGACCCATGAATTAGATTCTCTCCTAACACAGCGTACAAGCTTTGATTCATGAAAATTGAGAAGAAAAGAAAGAGAAGTGATCTATAACACTAAATAATCTGCACGTTTCTTCAAGTACTGTTATTGGCACTTTGCGAGACACAGAGATGCTGAGCAGCTTGGCTGCTCCTGTCCGGCTGGGAAGAGCCTAACGTGCTGTGGGCTCCCGTGCAAAGACAGAATGATGAAGACCGCCAGCTTCGCAGTCAGAGATGCAATGAGAAGTCAGGAGTTATTGGCTCCCAGTGGTGGACACGGCTCACCTCCCTTTTAATTGGGCCCAGAATTGTCAGGATCTAAAAAAAGTGGAACAGCCCAGACAGATTGCATCAAACTAAAAAAGGGAAGAAGAATGGTTTTTATCCATAGGTCAGATCACACCCTTGCCTTTGCTGTGGGATACTTGGTGTGTGAACTGCCACTGCCCTGCATTTCATCCACCTGGACTGGGGACAGTAGCTGGGTCAGGAGCAGAGGTTTCCTAGCATTGGCAGATCCAAAAGCACAGCGCCTGCACATCACGAGGACTGGCAGGTCTGTAACAGCACAGCTAACACATCATCATCTTGGAAACACCTTTTGGTTAAGGTGGGATTCCTCTCACCTGCGCCCAGCTGCCAAAAATTGAGATGCATCGTCCGTGTTAACAGGCTGGGTTCCTTTTATCATCAATGAGGAGAAGGGTTCATATTCTTCCCAGAACCCATTCAACACCATCCTGAGGGATGTATGGATGGGTATAAGTACAGCTGTGCAGGTGGCAGGGGCAAGTCCATTCTGCCTGTGTTTCTTGACACCAGGATATGAATTTATCATCAGTCACAATGAGAGTAGAAATAGAGACAGCATCTGCGCATGAATATCAATGTCCAGAAATTTCAGTGCTGCAGATTTCAATCCTATTCACATACTATGACTGATAATGGAAAAAACTCTTACAATTAAAATGATATTATTATGACAAAGCTTTATAAGGTACAGACAGGCATAATGAACAGTGAACTAACATTGAATTGAGAGTCAATCCACAGGAAAATATGGAAACTACTGAAATCCTGTCTATGGTCACAATTCAAAGCAGTGCACCCATTTCTTTCTGGGAAAACATTTCTGTGACTGTAATAAATGTCCTAATTTTTGACACTATCCTTTCTTTTACTCCCAAAATGACGGCTGAAGAAAATTACAGTGAAACAGTATCAAAGGTTGTTCAGACTGAATCTAATGCTATCTAGCAGGCAGTGGAATAAATACCAAAGGAAGCAGCAGCATCGTTCAAGCTAGGCTGAACAAAGTATGTGCCCCTGTGTTTGTTGGGAGTGGGGGCTTTTCCGGCTCTGCCTCCCCCCAGCACAACCCGCAGCCTGCAGTTGCGATTCCTTAGTGCAGGGAAAGGCAGGGTCTCCGAGGAGAGCTGGTAAATCCCAGCCCAGCTTCAGGTTGTCCTGCGACTGTACAAAAGCAAAGGGTTGTGTCAGGGTTGTGCTGGGATCTCCAACACCCCGCAGAGGCATGCGGCTCCGGGAAGGGAGATGCTGGTGTCCACTCTCCTGCAGCTCAGTAGAGGATTCCTTCTGGTTCCAGCAGCAAGTACTTCTTCATGGACAGGGGGATGGAGAGCAAGGGGACTCCTCGGTGGCACCTTTCTGACAATATTGCCCGAATAGCACATCTGCATAAATGCATGAGTGACCGTGGTGAATTGCTGCACACAGTGAACAGAGAGTCATAGAAATCCTGATGCCGCTGTAAAAAAGGAGACACAAGCATGTTTTAGGGCAATAAGGCTGTTTTCCTTCCCTCCCTTTCCCCTGCCCACATGCAGCCCTTGGCAGAACAAGGTAAAAAGCTCAGCCAACCCTCCTGTCCCTTGGAGGCACATCAAGCACCAGGGACTTGCTTTAGCCAAAGGCCTGCACAAAATTCTTATGCTTGCCTCAAATATTTAGTGTTAAGTTAAAGACCATGATGAAATCTTTAGGTTTGGTGTGTCTTATACCCATCAGTTTGAGGTTGGAGTTCCTCTGTGGTGTTAGTCCTGAGCTGAACAGAGGTCGCAGCCAGCTGAGGGTCAGCATGCGTGGACGAATTAATGCCCTGCACCCCACGGCGGGGCAGCCAGGAGGCCAACACCAGCTGAGTGACCGGCGAGTTGGCTGGGGCTGCCAACGGCAGAGTGCCTTCGGTCTCACTGGCCTTTTAGAATAAATAAAATTGCATCCCCATGAGATGAAAGAAAAGTGCAGATGCTTACAAATGACGTTGAAATAAAAGAAGCGAACGGTAAATACGTGCAACTATGTGTGACTTGATCTCATTTTATAATCTTGCTACTTGACAGATCTGGTTACATGTATTCTCAGATACACTTTATGTACGGAAAAGTATGGATTTGTGTCAACAAAAAGTTTTAATTTCATGTCAAGTTCAGTAAATAGCTGTGACAACAAAAATGAAAATCTCAACAAAGAAATAGAGTGACTGTGGACTTTTCCAAATCAGAATGTTCCAATATTTCAAGACCTTTCACTCTTAATTTTGTGTTCACCCAGAATGATTTCTTCTAATTTTTTCTGAACAAATCTGATGCAAAAAAAGTCTCCTAGTTCCTCTGGCTATATAACTCTGTGTTATAATACAGATGGAGTTCCCTAAACATTACTGATAATGTGTGGCAGATATTGGTGCACTTAGCTTCAGCACTGATTTGAAATTTTTTTAAAAACCCAGTATCAACTAAAAGCTAGGTTTAAACTGGAATATTGGAACTGTGAGGATTTCTGAATTAAAGAGATAATTATGTCAAAGCAGCTAGTTTGTCCCACAATTTTGCCTTTTGACAACATCTTCTCCTCTCGGATCCCTTTTTTGTCGTTTAAATTCTCCCTTGTATTTACAGCTAACCAGTCCTGCTCGCAGAAACCTATCCCATGCCACAGAACCTAAACAAACATAGTTGCACCCGTGTAATGTGGTACTTTTCAAACATTTGCTGACTTAAAAAAAAAAAACAAATGGATTGACAGATCTGAAGAATCACCAGTCACTGCTGGGATCTTCGCACTTGCTGAGTGCAGGACAGCTGAGCTCCTGCAGCACTCTGACAGGGGTGCTCCAAAGGATAATGTTGCAATGAAAATTTCTCTCAAAATATGTCTTTTGTCGGTGGGTGATGTGCTTTTGTTAAGTGAGTGATATTAAATGGGGAAATTCCAAATCATCTGAGATGGTCTTCTCTTTCAAAAGCATTCTCTATTTTCTGTGGCCAGATATGGAGAATGCAAATAATGAGCTTGGTTTTTACTCGGTTACAACTCATTAAGATCTCACCTCAAAGACGTCATCAGGTATGGCTGCTTTCCACTTAGATGTTGATTTGATGTGTTCATAGGTGTTGACGACAACCTCCACAGCTCTAGGGTGGGAATGACAGGCTTGCAGCACCTGCAGGCAGGATTCATAGAGACCATGAGTACCACCAAGAAACTGGGGCTAGCCTCAACTCTTGGCACCGTGCGATGGCATACTGAGACGGACACAGCCAAAGAATTATGAGAGGATGAGGTTGGAGATGCAAAAGGCACAAGCCTCGTCCATACTACTCAGTGCAAGCACAGCGAGAAACCCCAGGCTAGCCCCCAGTGGAGCTGCACACACCCCAGTTTAACACCATGCAGAAGTACTGGCTTAGATCCCCAGAGCAGTGTAGCTTACTGACGGGGTGCGCTTTATCACCCAAATCTGGACATAACTTGTTCATAGCTGGGTTGAGCGACTCAACACCAGGCAAAGCCATGCACAAAGCCCTTGCTCCAGGTCCTGCAGCACAGGAACAGAAAAAATCCTGTCGTAGGAATCAAAAATGCATCGTTTCAGGAAAATTTAAAAGAAGACTGGGAGATAACACAGCTTAGAAGTAAGGCAACCAAGCCACACAAGGCCTCTGAAATAATTTGTCTCCCCAGGAACTTTAGCTCAGCTGGAAAAAAACCAAAGTCTATTGTCACTCACACACAGGGAATAACACTTTGCGTTCACACCGTATGCTGCACTGTTTTGTCCCATACAGTCACCAGGCTTTCACAAACAAAGCTGCAAAACATCCCTCTGGGACAGATATCATCCTACATATTTTACAGATGGCAAATGATGGTTTGGAAGGGAGACCCACTCCATGCAACAGGAGAAAGGCAGAGGCAGGAAGAGGAGACCCCAGACCCAGCTCTCAAACACATTTTAGGAGACTAAGTGTTGTTGTGTTACAGACAGGGCCATCTCATCCTGGGCTCCAGAGGGTACAAGTAAAAGTTTGGTACTTTATTCAAAGGCTTGTGGTTGCTTGGCTTGCTAAGACTTTACATATACAGTGGACGAGCTGCAAAATGTTGCTTAGGGCACCAGACGAGAGAGAGTAAGTCCTGACTACAGCAAGCTTACTTAGTTGTCTGATACAATAAGACTGTCGGCTACTTCTGTCAGTGCCTTGGGCTTGGCAGATGTTTAGAAATTCTTTGGGAGGGATCCTGCAATTATTTTTCTTTTTTTTTTTTTTTTTTCCCCATCAACTATGAGCCCAGACCCAGCGTTTCCCCTTAATTTCTCACATTTCCTGGGAATGCACCAAAGCTGTATTGAGATGCATTTCATTTTTAATAGATTTGAATAGATGTTTAAAGGTCAGAAGTGACAAACTGAATCAACTGGTCTGATCTCCAGTCTTTTGTACAGGCCATGAAATATACATTTTGTATAACCCAGTTAAGCCTGCATGGAGCCAGGTTTGACAAAGGCATGTAGGTTTTCTGAAACAGGAAAGTGAATCAGCTCTCAAAAATTAGGCTTGAACCAGCATTTAGAGTTTGGGGTTTCAGGCTGGTTAAGAACAAAAATGGGATCTGGGTCTGGTTTCTGGCATTAGCAACTGTAAATTCACTTCAGTTAAACAGTACCACTCATACAACAGGTCAGCTCACAAGGTTTTGGGTATTCTGGGCCCATGGTTTACAGGACTCCAGGAAATCCAGATACCGCCAAACCCTGAAGTTTGGATCTCTCATATTCCTGTTCAAGACATCACCTCTCTGTCTATCCCTACTGTACAAAGCCATCCTTAACCTTGTGGAATTGCAGAGGATATATCCTAGCTGCTCCATGATTCAGGAGCAGCTGGTAGCAGATGTCAGGCTGGGCAGCTGGCCGCACAGATGTCACTTTTATGATATACTGTAGGGGTGCACAGCCATTAACGTCTATGATGTTTGCTTCTGCCCCTGCCTCCAGCAGCATATGCAGCAGGACATGATCACAGTTCCAGGCAGCTTTGTGGAGCGGTGATTTGAAATCCTCATCACGAGTGTTCACTTCAGCTTTATAATCTAAGAGCATCCGACAGATGAGGTGGTGATCCGGGCTGTATATCTGATCCTTATAGTGAAGGGCCCAATAGGCTGCACAGGCCAGGGGAGTCTCCATGTAAGCATTGAGAGCATCAACATGTGCTCCTTGTTCCACGTAAAAGGCCACGAGCTCTGGGATACCCAAACGTGCAACGATGTGCAGAGGAGTCTCTTCATCTTGGTTGTTTGTTTTTATGTTCACATTTGCTCCTGCCAAAGAAAGATGATGGGAAAAAATGAAGGCACTGAAATCCTGGTTTGGTCATCTCTCTGCTTGAGCCCTGCTACTCAAGGAGAAAGTGAGGGTGGGCAACTGGCATGAAAAACGCACATGGAAATGCAAATAGCTAGGGACATGGATTCTGCATTTCCTAAGCCTCCAGGAAACCTGTAGAAACTTCAGGTTCTTGGATCCAGCTTCGGATGTGATAGCTTGGCCCTGAGCTGGCCGAAGACCTTATCTGAACACGTTCTTTTGGAGCAGCATGCAGGTCCAAATCTCCATGTAAAATGCTTTTCCTATAAATTAAGAACTGAAGGAAAAAGTAGAGCTTTACTCTTACTCCGGAGAATAGCTCCGCTCACATCTATACCCTGAGAACGCGTCCTGCAGCACCTCATTAACCGCGAGCCTGGAAGAAAGGACATTTTGCAATAGATCCGTAGATGATATGAAAAAAAAAAAACCCAAAACATTGCCGAAGTCCGCAGCTGAGGGTGGGGATCCTGTTTCGGAGCTGTTAAGGGGGCTGGCAGGGCTGCTGTGCCTGCGCGGAGCGCTGCCGTAGCTGAAGCAACAGCACCATCTGCTGCG